AAGAAAGAAAGAAGCAGAGTTGTAGTGGACCACCAACACGAGCCAGCGAGAAAGCTAAATCGACCGAAACCCAGTTGAGACGTGAGCGATGATCCAGAAACACGCGAAGGGGGAAAAAAACAGTAATTCGAGAGATCCTCGAATAACCGACGCTAGAAGGCACACGAGAAAGAAGGATGGCGAATGGTGTTACGCAAGACTTGTCATCTCGACGACGAAGCGGGTCGCGCCTCGGTGAACGGGGTCTCCGCATTTTGGAAGAACTCAAGATGAGCGTGAACGACAGGATTCCCAGTGTATAAAAAAAGTAATATAAACATGCTAGAGGAAAAATAAAACGGTGCTATCATCGGTCGTCGCCCCACGCATCTAGAACATCTGGAACGAATTGAATGTCGAGAAGCAATGCTGCTGACCCTTTTTGTTTATCAATTCATTTTTTTTTGTGTTGTCCTTTTCTTGGACGGGCCGAAAGTGTCGCAAGATGGCTTGCCACATGTCTGTCATTTTTATACGCTTACCTGCGATATCACAACCCTCCTTTCATATTTTTTGTTCACGTGTTTTGCGACACAGTGATAACCTCAATATAGAGGAGGCGACGAATGAATGGGGGAAAAGACTTTGGCAATGAAAAAGAATTAACTAAGACATGTGCTGAATTCTTTTTTTTTTTGGAAAACCTAGGAGGGCAGGCTCGCCACCAACAGAATAGTGGGAAGGCAGGAGGAAGGGGGGGGGGGGGAAGATCACAAAGCAGCTGGGCGCAGCTGCAGTTTATTCATAGTAAAAGGACGAGCCGGGCAGCCTGTCGGGACAGCAGCGGGGCGCTGACAGTTTGCCGAGAAGAGATCAGGTGTTGGACGCCTTCCCAGCTGACTAAACCACACGTGTGAAACACTGTCGGCTCCCCGTTTGGCAGGGCATTCGCCAAAACGGCAAATGCAAAACGCCTCTTTGTAAGCCGAGGGTCTTATGAAGGCCTGACTACACGTACGCGTTCCAGCGCGTGGCTTGTGGGCTCGGCAGCACGCTTTCTTCGTATGGAGAGAGAGAGGGGGGACACGCAGCTTCGTGTAGCTGCTTGCCCTCTCCCTTCGTAGCGAGAGGGCGCAGCACCGAGTCTACACGCCACGCTTGGGCGTGCCGCAAGGCGTACGTGTGGCAGGGGCGGATCCAGCCACCCATTTTCGGGGGGAGGGGAAGCAGTCAATAGAATTAACAACCTGAATTTGGGCGTGGTCATTACTTTTTGTTTTACTAGCACAAAAACTGTGTATTGGCATAAATACTGTTAATGTGTGCTCACAGTGGTCCCGTTATGTAGTCCTAACTGGCGATAGCAGGTGGATGGCAAGCACTCAAGAGAGAGAGAGGAGTGCTGACAGGCTTTGGGGGGGGGGGGGGGCGATCACCCCTACCACCCCGCCTCCCTCTGAACCCACAACTGACGTGTGGTCAGGCCTTTAGCCATTTTCTCCTGGCATGGCACAGCTGGATCGGACGCACAATTTTTAAAATTCATTGGCTCATCACAAGTTGCCAGTGAAAAAAAAAAACGCAGACGATTTATTGCTTCACTTAGATGTCTCACAGCGGCACTCGCACCTTGGCGTTCGTGCATCATGCATGGTGTATAGGTTAACTTTTTTGTTTCGTTTCACTGTTGAAACGAATCTCAGAGGCCGACCAGAACGAAGCGCGTTGTTTACACCCACCTCACCAGGTGTAGTAACGATGCCAGCTGCTGTGTCAGCAACCACAAACTGAGCGCGCTCTTGTGCTTGTGCTTTCTTCTAATTTCCCCGCCCCTTCCTGCTTGTTCGATTTTCTTCCCTCTTGTTGGGCACGTCCGTTGGTATGTTTTATTGTTTTTTTTTTACTTTTTTCATTTTTTCTTCTTTTTATTTTTCACATCCGTGTGCTAGGGTGTCTGTACATATTGTAAGTACACCCGTCCGTTAAAAAGGGAACAGCAGCAAATCATCATCATCATCATCATCTGAAAAGAAAACGGTCTGCTCCTTCAATGAAAACACTCAAGAATTTTTCACAATTATTCTGACCATTAAATGACTCTAATCTTAAGCAAACTTACGCTTGGATATCGTATGCATCAAATATAACTACTAACTTGAACTTACCAATACGCGGCGGCGAGCACTGTAACGAAAGCTGGTGCTGTGCAGACATATTTCCAAGAAGTATATAGCCCTGCGATCACAGCGTGCCAACTGGTGTGCGTACAAAAAGTAACGGTAGCACTGCGGGGCGAAAGTCCCGCGGCTGCGAGGAAACGCTTGGCGCAGAGATTCTATTCCTAGGCTGCTCGTTTCGTCTTCTTTTTTTTTTTTTTTGACACCTGACACCATATGCGAAGCGAAGTTTCTGAAGCACAGCAAAGGTGACCTGAAAACAAGGGCAGGCACTGTGTACACCCTAAAGGTTGGTGCACTCAATAAAGAAGCCTCGGCGCGAGCTGGCCACACTGCTTACATCATGGAAGGCGTGCAACAAGCGAAGTGCTGCAGTGTTTTGCTAATGTTTCAGTGAAAGCGCCACACACAGAAAGCGCTGAAATATCCCCCGAAAAATGCACTGGTTACCGTCAGTCTATCTCTCTGTCTAGGACGTTACACAGGAAAACAAGAAACAGTACTTGTATACGGGTGCTTCACGTTGTAGGCAAGCTCGCCCTGTCTGTGACCACTCCTTGGTGGCCGCAGTGTTGTAGCACTTGTACAGTCGTGAGCAATATGAGAGGGTACCCGGCTCGTGTTTTAATCAACGATTATTTGTAATGAACCGATACTAGTGTGGCGCATTCGATCGCAAGAAATACCCGTTCGCTTGACCGTTCAGTGTTGCGAACAATTTTGTGTTTGCCAGCTACGTTTGGCTGCTATGACCTTCAAAATGTAATTTCAGTGTTCCATCTCATACTGCTCACGATTGTGGATCCCGTCGGTTGTGTGGCATCAAAATCTACAGCATGCCAGCTAAACGCATGTTGTGCACTCATCCTGGTTTGCGTTTAAGCCATTGTCGACGGATTCAAGCAACAGGCTGAGGCCTGTTGTCGGGACGCCAAACTCTTTCGTCTAAAATTAGCCACACAAATGTGTATTACAACATTCGACAACATCAAAACACGCCGCAGTGTTTGACGCCATGACAACTAGCGAGTGCAATTTGATGGAGCAGCTACGCATTTTTTTTTTTTTTGCGAGAGCTGAGTTTATATTTATTTTACAGCGAAGCTGCATAAGACGTGGCAACATGTGGCAGTACATGAGTGCACAGGAACTATAGTGATGTAATGCTAACATACGCTACCTCGAACGGTCTTCAAACTCGCCCTGAACTTCTTTTCCCGGTTTTGTTAACATATACATCTAGGAACAATACCCGCCACCGCATAAATCGCTACCCATAGAATCATTTATGTGTTCTTACCATCCTTTAAGCTAAAAGCACTAAACACGGAGTTTGAATCACGCTTCTCTTAAATGTGATGATGCAGAAGTGAGAAGCTACAACAGGACACACCCAGCTCGTGATAAGAACAGCAGACACATGTTTCAACTTCATTGTTTATCTGCATGGAGTGCTTTAGCGGTAATTTTTCAAGTTTGTTTCTTGAAGTGCCATGCTTCGCATTCTTGAGTCGTTCTATCCGAAGCTACAAGAATGCCAGATCCGGCGGTTCGTACGTGCTTTGGCGTGACGCCAATTCGCACGCCAGTAACCTTCGCGTGAATTGAGAGAGGGGCAGCAGCCAACAAACGTCACGGAGCGGTCACTGTATACTTCCAGCTACACTAAATACACAAAGCGCTCTGGAACACGAAGAAGCATAGTTCTCGTAACGTCAAGACTTCGTCGCAACACCGGGAGAGCATTTTCACCGAGAAGTGTTTACTGAGTAACGTGCAATCTGCTTCGAGACTCTGCAGTTCGTTGAGGGAAGGCGTCTTAGTATTTACGCAGTGAAAATAACGCGGCGATTTCGTAAACTGTTTGCGCACTTTTTACCGTCGTCGAGTACCACTATAAACAAACCCAAACGTGTCTTTCTCTGAAACAACGCGATGTGCGCACAGTGTCCGCAGCATTTCACATTCTTTGTGACACTGGAGAGCAAAGGCTTCCTGCAAGCTTGTTATATCGTTAAGTTATATGCAATCGGAGCCCGGACTTCATGCAACATATAGCAGCCACAATGTGAAAGTTTCGCATTAACCTACCTCGACGTTCTCATCGAAATGTTACTCCCCACCTGAAGTTTTATGAACTTCAAATAGCCTCCGGGATCGTTACAAAGCCTCCGAGACGTCAACTTAAGACGTCACTCGACGTCGTAATCTCCCGACGTCATGATGGCGTAATACATTTCGGAGGTATGTGACGTCAAAGCACGCCGTCATTAGCAATCCACCACGGTTGTGTAGTGGTGGATTGCTGTGTAGTAGTGTAGTGTAGTGTAGTAGTGCTAGACTGCTGATGCCGGAGGTCGCGGCATCGAATTCTGCCCGCATCAGCTGCGATTGGATGCAGGCGAAATCCTTGAGGCTCTTGTACGTAACATTTAGGCGCACGTAAAGAACCAGGTGGTCGAAATCTCCGCAGTTCTCCACTAGAGCGTTTCTCATATTGGTCTCGTGACTTTGGGACGTAAAATTCACCAATTATTTCACGACCAATTATTTCATCAGTGGAGACGTTCACGTAGGTTTTTGTAACACTTCATTCGCCAACCGTGTTTCACTTAACGGGTTACGGAAGGAGACACTTAAGAATTTTGTGTTAATTTTACACACCACTAAGTCTTCAGTCGACGATGTTGCTCTAAAATGTTCGTGTGAAATCTAAGAATAACCCGCGTTCGCTTTTTCATGTATGCGCACGTCGCGGATATAGGCTAGCGACCATGTCACGTGTCTCTACATGTCTGTATCTACTGCGTTTGTATGCATCTGTTCACTTCGCTCTTCTTGCAGAAACAGATCGGCAGCCATGGCACGTGTCGTAAAAGGCGTCAACATCGACAGTCTGGATGACGAGTTCAAGTTGATGGAACTCGTGAGCGGACTTTATTTTCTCTTTTTTTTCTTCATTTGGCAGTCTTACTGCGCATGGTACGGCTATTATCGAACATACGTAACTTAACTGCAGGCATGACGACAAGTATTCGTATTTTCGTGTTATTAACATTGCTTTTTTCGATATTCATACACTTTTCCGAGAACTAGTCAACCTCCTCTGTCCTTTTTTTTTTTCTCAAAGGACCAAGTGTTACACATGCTATGCCAACAGTTCCCAGATAAGGAATCATTTGTGGTCATTAAACGTATCTCGCTTGCGTCCTTCAAACAAATAAACAAAACGAAAGTGAAAATGGCATGCAACAAAATATTGAGAAATGCTGAAAGTGTTCACAGCCATTCACGCAAGCTTCTAGAAGCTACCAAACGTTCAAACAAACTGTTTATCAGCACTATCGACGGTGCTTCACAATGTCTTTCATGCAATTCTTCCCACCAGCTTGACTCAATTGAGGACTTTGAAGAACGTAAAGTGGTGCGTTCCAGGCTTCAGGAAGTGAAGGCCGTAAACAAAGGTCAGTGCTCATGTTATTATTATTATTATTATTATTATTATTATTATTATTATTATTATTATTATTATTATTATTATTATTATTATTGTTGTTGTTGTTGTTGTTGTTATTATTATTATTATTATTATTAGTTGTTGTTGTTGTTGTTGTGGTGGTGGTGGTAGTAGTAGTAGTAGTAGTAGTAGTAGTAGTATAAGGTGCGTTGGGCAGTGCGCGATGGGTGTGGTTTTTTTGTCTATGCCCCATCGAAAGGCATACCGATGACGATAGTTATAGCGCGAGAACAAAACGACGACACAGAGACAAGAAGGACACGAAAGACAAGTCCTTCTTGTCTCTGTGTCGTCGTTTTGTTCTCGCGCTATAACTATCGTCATGCCATACCAACTAGCCTAAACTGCCACGCTTCTAAGAAAGGCATACAGCAGGAACACTGATGACTCAATTGCATATCGTCGCACTCATCTACTTCGGGAGGCTGGGGAAAGATAATCACTGGCTGAACTTATTTATTTATTTATTTATTTATTTATTTATTTAGGTACCCTCAGGGCCAGAGGCATTAGGGAGGGGAGTGGGTTACAATAGTTACAAACAAAATATAAAACAGAGCAAAAAAGGTATAAACACAACAAAACCAGGAAAATGCAATGTACTTCAGTGTTACACGTTATACAATGTTAGCTAAAGCAGTTTTAAAAAGTTGGTGGTCCGAGATTGTTGCCGTCAGTGCGGGTAGGTGGTTCCATTCCTGTGATGTACGCGGTATGAATGACTCGGAAAAGGAGTTAGTTCTGCAGGACGGCAAGCCGACTTTATGGACATGATTTATGCGAGCTGAAATGTACCGAGGAGGCAGAATGAGTTCGTTTGGTAGCTGGCTGTGATAGAAAAGCTTATGAAAAAGACAGAGGCGAAGGATTTTCCTACGAGATGATAAGGAAAGTAATCCGAGGCTAGATTTCATAGTGCTTATGCTGGCAGTCCGGTTGTAGTTAGAGAGTATAAAACGAACAGAGTTATTTTGAACCATTTCAAGTGAGTGTATTAGATTTTCTTGGTTAGGATCCCAAACTGATGCAGCATACTCCAGTTTGGAGCGGATAAGCGTCTTGTAGAGAGTTAGTTTTAGTGTTAAAGGAGTCTGTGAGAAATTTCGACGTACGTAGCCGAGCATGCAATTAGCGTTATTAATTACGTACGTAATATGCACGGACCAAGTGAGGTCGGTAGTAATATGTATTCCGAGATATTTGTAAGTGCTGACAGATTCCAGTGGAGCATCGTTCAGATAGTAAGTGGGCAATATACGGTTAATTCTAGATACGCGAAGGAACTTGCATTTGTTAGTGTTGAGTTCGATTACCCATGTTTTCCACCACACAGAAATAGCGTTAAGATCGGATTGAAGGGTTAATAGGTCATTGTCATTAGATATTTTACGAAAGAGGACGCAGTCATCGGCAAACAAGTGAATGTGAGAAGTAACAGATAAAGGTAAGTTGTTAATGTAAATAAGAAAGAGCAGGGGAGCCAGAACAGATCCTTGAGGGACTCCAGAAGAGACGTTCGTTCGGGGTGAGACGTTATCGTTAGCTAAAACAAACTGAGCGCGGTTAGAAAGGAAACACTCAAGCCAAAATAAAAGTTTCGGATCAAGATTAAGATTTCGTAGTTTGTGAAGTAACAACTTGTGACATACTTTATCGAAAGCTTTGGAAAAGTCTAAAAAAATGCAATCAGCGATGGATGAATGATCAAGAATGATGTTTAATCCATGGGTGAAAAATGCAAGCTGAGTCTCGCATGAATAGTTTTTTTTTTTTTTTTCTGAAACCGTGTTGACGCTTGGAAAAAAACGAGTTAGATTCGAGAAAACCTGCCAGTTTGGAATATAATATGTGTTCTAGTATTTTACAAGGTATGCTGGTTAGCGAGATAGGCCGGTAGTTAGACGGTGAATGTTTGTTACCAGTTTTAAACAGTGCAGTTATCTTTCCAATCCTAAAGTCGACGGGGAGACAGCCTTCATGAAGCGATTGTTCGAATATCTTTGTTAGTATGATTGAACAATAAGAGCTGGTGTTTTTCAAAAATTTAGGATTCTAATATTAATCCAAAGATCTTCTTTTCTAAAAGGTTACCCAAGCTCCGTAATCACTTATAATGGTACTTACTTGGGCGAGTAGGTAGCTAATCAATGTCACCTTATTGCGCACTGCTTAAAAGACGAACACCTGGGATGAAGGACTAGACGGACACAAGCGCTTCTGTCCGTCTAGTCCTTAGCTCGTAATCACGACCGTCATTTCAGGTTGGGCAAACCTATATTGCCTAGATTGACACGTTTATAGGACGCCAGTAGTCAGTGTTTTCGAGTGTTTCGAGATTCCAAGATGTTTATAGATGTTGAAGCCCCGCCAACAAAAACTGGCGGCGCAGCAGTCGGGGCGAAGTGGCGTCATGGCAGGGACTCGCTTGCTTCGCGGCCGAGTATCGCCCCTTTCTGCGCCCGCCGTGTGCCCGCTCTTACGCGATGCGGTAATGATAACTGCTCATTGTTGTATCAGGCATTCGCTCCCTGCGCTGCCTGCTCTATCACGATAGCACTACTATCACACATTTCGCCAATATAAGAGCGTGACAATAAACCCTAGGGGCAGTCTTGTTCCTGCCATCATGTAGTTGCCTTGATCCTTACTTGACCAGCATTGAAAACAGTACAATTGTTACGATGCAAATATACCAAGGCAGCTGTTTACACTGCTAGAGAAAGTTAAGTGAGCTGCATAAAGTTGCGATAATCCAACGGGCGAATTCCAGTCTGAACGGGGATGTTCACTGTGAAAATGTTTGTGCATTACAGCAAGGCCTTCGTTGTTTTCACCGCTTACGCCAAAAAAAAAATTGGCGCCAAAAGTATTAACGCTAATGATTCTAACTTCATTACAACTCGGCGTACACTCCTGGGTAAGAACATGTGTCCCAAAAAATTACAAACAAAATTACAATGTTTTCGAATTCACTAAATAGATCGCGGTTTTTATGCAGATTATTCGGGTGATTTGACAAAGTCGCGCTTTTGCTAAAAAAGACGTCAGATGAATTTACCATAAATAATCTTTTAATACATCCAGAATGTTGAACAAAATTATAAGGTCACACACAAATCGCTCAGGAAAACCTTGAGACGTTAGTGTACTTAAACTACATAAATATTTCTTCTAAACAGTTTAGCAAGTCATCTTCAATTATGTGGCCGTATATTCTGACTAGCATGAACTTCTGGTCCGATGAAACGCCGCGTCACAAGAGGTAATGTTCAATTCACGTAGGAGCACTATTGATAGCAATCGTTTGCAAAGCTAATTACTGAAGGTCTAAATGAGCGTTGTCAACAATTTCTATGGCGCTCTCAAGCGACGTGGCCCTCGCAATAATTAAATTGTGCTCACCTCAGTGAGTCAGCGTCCGGTCTTGCACGTCAAATCCGCGCACACTGGTGTAATGTAATGCAATAAAAAATTAATTTACAAGTAGGCTATTTGAAGCGGTACTTACGAGTGTAACATTGCAACGACGTTGCTTGAAGGTTCCGCAATTTAACTCGACTCGTGTTTCAGTGAGATAAAGCCCTGAAATTACTGCGAGAAAAGCGTGAAACTACATGACGAATAAACGGGTACATAAAAAATACAAATGCAACAGTGGCGGGAGTGTTCTCGGCACAGCACTTTGGAGATACCTTGCGGGCCTCGATACTGCTTGGGTTTTTGCAACTCTGCCTAGAACTTGGTATACAGGCAAAAAAAAACAAAAAAATTGTCCCTGGCCAGATAAGAGCATGTGTCCGACACGAATAGATTCAGGAAGTGAAAAGATTATATATCTGAAATTCCGGCCACGGCGGCCGCATTTTTGATAAAGGCAAAAAATTTTGAGGTCCGCATGCTTAGATTCAGGTGCACGTTAAAGATCCCCAGGTGACCGGAGTTTCCGGAGCTCTCCACTACGGCATCTCTCATTGTGATATCGTAGTTTTGGGACATTGAACTCCGATTATTATTATATCATATCTCTCAAAGAAACCACTCGTGAAGAAAGTCTTATATGTAAAAACTACGACTAGAATACGGGCACGCTGTACAACAACTTTGTATCCAGGCACAAACGTGTTCTTGCTCTTCACTCGAGTCTGCACGCGGCTGCCACGGCCGAGATTCAAACTCATCCTCGAGTTTAGCCTCGCGACACAACAAACCTGATCACAGTGTGTACGTAGGAGCACGGTAACCGTTGGCGATTGTACTGAACAAACGTTTTGCAATGTTTTACTGTGAGCACTACCGATCCTGTTTTCGTCATTCATCTGAAGCTTGAGTTAAGAGAAAAGTGATTGAAAACAGCGGAACAGCGTACGATGCGAGCACATGTTATGCTGAACAGCAGGCGTCAAAGCATCCTTGCCGTGACGTCGCCCAGGCATACCGCCAGGTGGCGCCACCCCTACTTCTCAAGGCTAATTGACTCTTCATGGTTACACCACCATTTTTGTTGACGTCATCGGTATTGCTGTCTTTCAATTTTTATAACACGAATGTGTTTTATGCCGGAGTCCACCAAGACTTCGCAGACGTTATTTCCGTCACGGATCAGACGTCGGTAAAATGCAAACGAACAGAAGACAAAGAAAAAACTCTGTGACACGGATCGCCTTGAAGTCGAACCTACGACCTCTCGGTCAGTGGAGATAGGCGCGGGGCGATCTGCCTACTGCACAAACAACGCAGACGCACGGGGCTTTGATAACGCGCCAGCGGGAAGTAGAACGCCATCGCACGTTCACGGCTCGAACTACGAACTCTGCCTCAAACTTTCCTGAAGCGCTGGGTGGTAGAAACGCTTCCTCTTAATAGAGGAAGCGTTTGCTGGCAGCGCACGCATGAACAGATGCATATGTTACTCTTAAATGATGCTGCTTTAAATGAGTACCTACAGAGTACCAAAGTTTAAACATTATGCGCTTAATGAACACACTGCTCAGATGTATGCTAACTGCTTCTACTACGACGAGAGTTTAATCATGACCATAGAACTTAGTCAGGATGATGATGATGACATTAGTCGATGGAGTGTAAATGCGCCACCAAACATCAGCGTCAGTGCGTTCGCGTTTAAACGGGGCTTTTTATACCAAAGGTGAACAATCATTGTGCGAGCTTCCATACACCAACGTACAATAAACACTCAAGGACAGCTTTCACTTTCGTGTTATACCACTTTATATCACGAAGGGATCAACCATTTCTTGCTTTTCTCATTTTTATTTCCGTGCGCTATAGCAGCGTGTGATCAAATCGATTAAAGCCAATCTGTCAACATTTTTTTAGCAATCGGTGGTATCTCTCCACATTCACGGTGTTGAGGTGCACGGCATCGAATAACTTCACGCGAATGGAGCGACTCGAAGCTGATTGACCGCGGGTTGACGTGGAAACATAGATGGAAACAGCAAACCCTCAATGATGCTTGCTCTCCTCTCACTTTCTGTACAGCCAAGCGCGAAGCCCTGGTACGCAACCGCGAACAAGAGCGTGAGAACGCCATCCGGCAGCGGCAGCAGGAGGCCGCCGAACAAAAGCAACGGACGCTAGCCATGTACGACAAGATGGCCAAGACCGGCAAGCTGGACACAACACTGTACAGGGAAGGTGAGTATCTATCTATCTATCCATCTATCTATTCATCCATCTATCTATTCATCCATCTATCTATCTATTCATTCATCCATCTATCCATCCATGGCGTGGCTCTGTGGTAGAATACTTCGTTGCCCACGCAGAATGCTTGGGTTCGATTCCTGCTGGGTCCCTGATATATATTCTTTGCATTTGTCGGGTCAACGCTGCTGATGTCAACTTTTCTTAACGTTCACGCGTTAAAATTACGCATATTTTTTGTCACCGTTCCTCACCTGCGGCACATACCCGCTTACCTGTGGCACGTCTGCCCACGGGTATGTGCCACACGTCTGGCGGAAAGCGTTTGACGACGTACGCGACAGAACGGGGACACCATTCATGTCACGACCAGCTAATCATATTCGTCAAACCATCTTACCCTGCCATACTAATTTTTGTTTATCCCTACTTAAGGGAGTGATCGCGAGAGCACGCATATGTAGGCGGATAGGTTTGAGATGCTTTTCAAATTGACCCAATAATGTTCGTCAAACGTCACTTGTAATGGCATGTGGTGGCTAATGAATTTTATAAACGATGCATATGTTGAGCGTGCACTCTGAGCGTGCGCTTGTAAATTACTTTAGCGCCACTTTGTAACGTTTCGCTCAATAAAAAATTCCAACACAGTCCCCTTCCATCCTCATCGGTGAAGAATGATCATGTACAGGCCGTGAACCGCTTGTTCAAGACCCCCGATGTGCGCGGTGTTCACGAAATATTGCGTTCCGTCAAACGTGCGCAGGCGTGGAATCCCAGGACGACGACCAGTCGGGCAAGACGGACCTCGTGGAAGACGCCATCAAGCAGCGGCAGCTCGAGGCAGACCTGCGCAAGAAGCGCATTCTGGCCGCTTACGACGCGGCCGCCAAGTCCGGCCCCGCGGGAGTCGTCAAGACGGTCGACTTCGACTCCTTCAAGAAGGCCGACGGTGAGTCGCGCTTGTAAGATTCCATCGCTTCGTGACTGCGTAGGCATACGTGTGCGATGTGAGGGACATAGAAAACAATACGGCACACTTTTGTTAACTTATGCTGACTGCATGGTGATGAGAATATTGTTAATTGTGCTATTCTTCATTATCAGTCTGACCACATTCACTGCAGGACAAAGGTCTTTCTCATGTTGCACTAGTCAACTGGTGATACGTTAACCTTGAGGTGTGACCTTGAGGGACAAGAAGAGAGCAGCATGTATCAGGGAACAAACGGTTGTTAAGCACATCATAGTCATAGTGAGAGAAAGACACAGATGGAAAAGAAGATTAGGGAGAGAAAATGAACATACCAGTTTGGCTACAACAGGATTGGGGAGGGCCGGATAAGTGGTGCAATAATGGGTGGAAGAGACAGCAAAATGTCAGTTAACAGAAACACAGAGAACTACTAAGACTGACACCTTTCACTCCTACATTGCATCAAAGGCAGCCTTCTCGAAAGAGCATATCCGCAAACATTCCTGCGCAGCCGTTAAGAAACTTACACTGGTCATGGTGACTCCTCAACTACAGTGAAGAAGCAACTCTTGAAACGTTCACGTAATCTTACAATCTCAATCCTAATCTTAATCATTCGCCTAATCTTAATCTTACAAGAACTGCTCAAAAGACACTTCACAAAAATAACAAACTTTCTATTCAGTCTTGTAATATGCTAATCCAACATCTTGCTCAGTTATGGCACACCTGGTATGAAATTTTAAAAATGAACCCGTGTAGATTGCTTTAACTTCATGGAACTGCAACCCGCAAATCGGCAAGACTATGCGTCATGTATCGATGAACAATAATTCAAGTTTCAATAACGAGACAAAAGGCGTTCATTTCTTACTCATCACGACACTATGTGGTATTACTGTGCGTGCAGATATTCCTAAGCGCCCCTTCACAGGCCTCTTGGGAAGAGACGTCCGTTCTCTAGATGAAAAAAAAATGCTCGGGGACTAAAAGAGCGCGGAAAGCTGTCTGTGTCCTTTCGATATCGAGTCTACGAACATATCAGTTCAACTCACTCCGATCACTGCATAAACATGCCCAGCGGATTGGTGCAAAGCTCGCAGTTCCGTTTAAGTTAAACTTGACATGCTTATTCTAGGAGGGAGTAAGCGATAAAACACTGTAAATATGCTTCTATTTGAGATAATACGCGGCAGCGTTGTTTTTCTTTAAGAAAGAACTTTCGGTAAAGTAGATTATTCAGAAGCCCGCGGCTTTATCAGCGTTCTCGGTCCACCTCGGTGGAACTGTGGCTACGATTCCCGGCTGCTAACCCGAAAAGTCGCTGGTTCGATACCGGTCATGGTGGTCACATTTTGATGTCAGCGCACACTAAAGAAGACCATATTGTCCAAATCCCTCCACTACGGCGTCTCTCATAATCGTGTGCTAGTTTTGGGACGTAAAACCCCAGATATTAACGCGAAATTAACGCGATAGCGTCAGAGAGCTCGTTTAGCAGAAATTCCGGCGTCGGCGTCGTTGGTTGTTGGCGAAAAATCATCATATTTGCGTGACCGAAAAATCGAGAAAGATGCCAATAAAAAAAAATCATGGGTACTAATGGGGATCAAACCCGGATCGTTCGGGTCTGAGTGTGGATCGAACCGTGTCGTTTGCATGGTAAGCGGGTGTTCTAAGAGACAGTCATGCATCTGCTTGTGAATGCAGTGACATTAACTTCTTCTGCTTGGAAATGCAGTGAAAGCTATTTTCATGCTTCACAAACACGCGCGTCCTGTACGCATGCTTCACAATACAACACGAAATATTGTCGTAATATTAATGCGTGGTACACGCGTACATTGCCATCGGGCGTCATAACATGGGATTATCACAATGACTTCATGGTTTAAAGCCAGTCACCCACTACAAAAGGCACACACGCTACTGCTCCTTTAAGGCCACGTAGTGCGTGCATAGCAAGTTCGAAAAGGTTCCAAGCACTAAGTCTTTGAAGTACCAACTGGGAACCGTTGCTAGGAACATAATATTGCTATCGCGTTCAACTCTTAGAGGCGAAGCTTAAGGGTCCCCAAACTATTATTATTATTATTATTATTATTATTATTATTATTATTATTATTATTATTATTATTATTATTATTATTATTATTATTATTATTATTATTATTATTATTATTATTATTATTATTATTATTATTATTATTATTATTATTATTGGCGTTCTAAAATACATACCTTTCTTATCGACATTCCACAGTGTCCACGTTTGAAGTGCCAAAGCCCACTGGCGCTGCGACGGGTTCCTCGACATTCTGCGCAGCGGGCGGTGTTCCAAAGATCGTCAAAGGTAAGTTACATGATTTGTCTCTGCTTAGGTACAAGAGTTAGTGTTTGTCATTGTGAACGATAAGTCACTTTTTGCAAGCATAGAAAACAGGTGCTTGCGTATAGTTTTCTTCAGTAGTGCAATGCAAAACAGTCAAGTAGCGTAAGTAACCACCAACGTAGGTTAGCAAGCAGCCTATAGTGTGTATAGACGGTGTACGTGAATACAGCATGCTAAATAGTGTGGCATTTCACCCGACAATGCCCCGCAGATATCATAGTATCAAAGTCCGGTGGTCCCATTACGCCATGTAGCACAGTGCCCCCCCCCCCCTTCCTCGAGCGATTTAAGCCTCGCACTGCCGTAGCACCACCACGAAGCCTGCTCGTACCGGTAAGCCGAGGTACCGGGTGAGGGGAGTACCACATGATGGATTGAATCAAGTCGGGGTACTCGATGTCTATGCCTATGAATCAAGTGGCATCAGGTGGAATCAAGTGGCACCGGGCGGAATCAAACTCGGTACGTCCCGCATTGGAAGCAGACGCTAATCCATTGTGCCACCACTATGGTATGTAGTATCAAAGTTAGATTTAGCCGTACGGATATATATACTTAGCACCTGGTTCAATTATTCGTTGTCGTTTTTTTTTTCTTTCAGAGCACAATGTCAGAGCAGTCGGGTGTGACCGTCACGAACTTAATGCAGGCTTGATTTATAGCGACAGGATTCCCACAGCCTTGACGTGTTCAGCGCACAGTTACGAAGCTTTCGTGCCAGTAATACGTCCTCTTACGGAATTCAGACATATACGGGATTCAGACATATGGTAATATTAATGGTATACTCGCACATATTAAAGTTCATCTTCGCGACTTGCCGCTACGGCAATCACGGTATGATAAGCACGGTAAGCTTAGAAACTATCAAAAGTACTATCAAAACTATCAAAAGATCAGTAATTTTTTTGTCGTAGCGTTATACTGGAAGCACATTGTTGCTATCGTAACTGTGATGGCAGGCGCTGATCAATCAAGCCAAGGCTAGCTGACCAGCGTTTGACGCGGTGTAATAGCGTTCTATTGTGTTGAGCTTCGTAAAGGCAGACAGAGCGATTGAGAACAGACCTCCGGAGTAGCAAAAGAACTTCAAATCGTGACTGGGTGACCATCCTCAGCCCGATAGTACTTGTATGGTTACTTTTAGTGATTGGCTCAGCGCATGAGCTAAATTGAAGCAACAAGATTTACCTCAGTTGATCAGTGGTGCTGCCGTACCCTAGAGGTAAATGGCGTCAGGTGTAGGCAAGTTTAAGAAGAAGCGAAACAATAAAAGCTAGACAAAGCAGTTCATTTTGAAGTTTTACTTTGTGTTTTATCGACTTACAAAAATCAGGGTTGTCGGAGGTGAAACGCGATTCTTCTCAGATTTCACGATTCTTCGCAGAATTGTGAAAGTGTTTCGCTTGCTCTTCGCTTCAAAACAAGCAAGCCCTACCATAATTTTATCATGTTGTTAATCATGCTAGCTGTCTTTCTTTCATCTGCCCGAGAATAACTTAATTGATAAAAATAATTCTCGAAGATAAGTAGACTAGAAACTATCATCAGGTAATCCTACTTCTTGGTGTCGATATTCCCGCTTTTCTATTACGGCGAGGCCTTCGACGAAATATAAAACACTTGATACCCACCAAAATATGACAAGGTTTTACGAGCAAGCGGAGAGTCGACGTGTGTGATGGCCAGTGGACCAACGAGGAAACACACGTTTTCGAACTCTAGTTTTCTGATAAAACAACGCAAAGCTACCCCGACGTAGATCACTTCAAACATTGAGACGTTGACTCCATAGTTTTGGGAAATATTTTGTTCTTTCACTACTAACAGCTATCAAGACCGTCTCTCTATACCAGTTTTGTTGAATATCTTCACTTTTTTGAACGACTGGTTCGTTGTTTATTGCAGATTCTTTCCTTTATCATATCACACAAGCATTTTGGTGCCACGTCCAGTGTATTTCCGTTGTATTACGTGCCAACGAATACTACTATTGAGCAAATTGAAATAAAAAAAACATTTTTGCTATGCTTGAACGTAAATAAAAATGAGAATTCCTTTAAGAGCAACGCTAAACTATCCGGCCTGGAAGATACGCGTACGATAACGTATACTTCCGATGCCGCAGTGGGTACGAAGCGCGCCAGAACTTTGCTTGTCCTTGTAGCGACGCAAGCGCCGCTGCACAGCTCTGTCGTCATTCCTCACTGTTTTTTCCCAGCATGACTTTTCTTTTCTGAACACCACGTTCGCATGATCACCCCGCATGGTTGTTGTGTACACTTGTTTTGTATGCGTGGTTTATGCGCGCCGTTTTGACTGTGCATCGTCTGCCTCGTTTTGATACTCAAGAACCTGTTTGTTTGTTTGTTTGTTTTTGTTTTCTGATGATGCGTAGTGCCTAGTATACCTTTACAGTAGTCATAGTTTTAGTGTAGAAAGAAATTAACAACTACGATCGTAAGGTAACCGGCCAACGCGAATGTGTTTTTGACATAAGATTAAGTAATATTTTAAAACAAATATTTCCAAGCTCAGAGAGGTATTCATGCGCGTATTTTAGTGACGAACAAAAGATGAAGATATGTGCAAGTATTATTCGATATTACAACTATGTGCCGAGGTCACGAAATAAAAGAAAACTTGAAGTCATAGGACGTGCAAAGCTCAAAAATCAGCACCAGGTGAACGAAATATCATGTGCCGCTTTAAAAAAAATGCAAGATAATAATTAAGCTGGCGAAACACGCGATTTCAGCCGCTGCTTTCTTTTGCACATTCGTTTAGCTGATGTTACCAGCTAGAAACAAGCACGCCGAAACGTATAAGCCAGATACGCACACCGAACGACCCTAGCGATTTCAGCGATTCACAACGCCCCTTCTTCCAATAGATTATTTGGATCATTCAAACAAGGCTTCTTTTACAGGCAACAAGTAGTCCGGACAGAATCACTCAAAACGTACATGGCGTCAATATTACCTAAAGGAGGCACTCACAGCGGCGTCTCTGCCCTTCTGCGGCTTTGTGTTGCACGTAGGCACTTCAATTCTTTATTGACAGAGAGGTTGTGCACAAAAACTGAACGAGTTCGCCGAACAACAGCTCATAGCGTTCTGTACACCAGCCGAGTACCAACGGTAAAATAAATACTACACGATAGATTCAAAGCACACCACAAACAAGTATACGTAAAGGAATACCAACGAGGTCAATATACTGCCGGAAATTTTATACACACATTTCTGTCGTGTGACGTGCAGGCCACATTAGATTATACTACTACTACAATGTCACTCAAAGGTTCAGAGACATACAAAGTCTGTAATAAAGAAAAAGATCGTAAAGCTTGGCATGTTGGAGGGGAAACAAAGGGGGAGCACAGGTGTAAATCGTCGCGGTGGTCGTCCCCAGCGGTGCCGGTGACTCCGCCGCCGTCGACGGGCAGCGGCCCGGCGTGGCGCCAGATGTCGCTGACTGGCGACGAGGAGCCCGAGATGGACGCCATGCAGCGCGGAATCCTGCAGAGGCAGCGCGAAGCCGAGGAGCGCAAGCGACGCATCCTGGCCGCCTACCAGATAGCGGCGCGCAGCGGTGCCGGACCCAAGACCGTCTGCCTCGAGGAGTACAACAACCTGCAAGGTGCGCACAGATTCCGGAATAACCTCCGGGCGCACGTTCTTTGATGCATATACCAGAGTAAAGGTAGTACAAGTCCTAAACGTCAACAAACAGGATTGCGAAAATGACAGGTTATGCATAAACACGGCAGTGTGGCTTTGCCTCACACATACTCTTTATGTAAGAAAGCCACCTTTATAAAAAAAAAAAAAGAAAGTCGTGTTTGTTGTTATTAGGGCCGTAACTAGGGGGGGGGGGAGTTGAGGGGGTTTTCATGCTTTAACTTTTTGTGTGATACCAATGTAGTTACGCACCTTTACATTTACCACCGGTAACCAAAGTTAGCCGTTCTACACATTAACGCTCCCCCCCCCCCTTCCAAAAAAAAAACCTGGATACGGGCCTGGCTGCTATTCCATTTGGTTGCCCGATTTTCTCAATCTGCTGGCACATACACCCCGACGTAATTGATCCGCGTCATAATCCTCGCGCCTCTTTAGCCAACCCTGACACACATTATGTGGAAGTGAGAAGACAGAGAAGGACTGTGAGGAAGACACACTCCCAAAGATTCCTGGCCACTCCTCCAGGTTCTGCGTGGAAGGTTGTGTAGCGTAGAGGCCCAGCTAAGGGCTAAACCTATACTGGAGAAGCTAGCCTTCAGGCGTCGCCTGGCGGACACACCACGCGAACAACGACGGATAGCTTAACTAACTCGCTCTTCTTTCGTAGTAATAAATTGATAGCGAGCTCTGAAGGCTAAATAAGTTCACACATTCATACACACACATTCAATAAGTTCATTTCTCGCGTGCCGTTTTGGCTCCCAACGACCTTCTACCGGCACGCAAGCTTAGAAACGAGCATTTCTTCCATATCCCTCCATATACTCAGCCACACGACACTCAGCCAAGAACGGCACGCGGCGTAATGATCACGTGCGTTCCCACAACCACACTTTTCATTGTTTGACTAGAACGTTTACTGAAACAACAGTTTGTAAACGAAGTGAGCTTGAAGCTCCTACGGACCTTCGCGACTATAAAAAAAAATGTCTCGTCGTTTTACTGAAAACGTACTAAGTTTTGATATCTTCTTTTTTTTTCTCTCCCTTCCCCCATCCCTTCCCGATCGGCATGTTCGCAATGGTCGTCACGTGACACTGGCCACTCTCGCAGTACCCGAAGACGTGACGTTCGAAAACCCGTACAGCTGCACGACGGGATTCAAGGGCGGCATAGCTGCAGTCAAGACGCCGCAGAAGCAGAGGGCGGGCGCCCGGTAACTGCGCCCCTCCCCACACCTCCTGTCACCTCCCACTCACCCCCTTTGCCCTCTCC